CGAATAATTTAAATTGGTTTTATAATGGCTAGACGAACACGTTTTCACTTTAACGTTAGGGTTTGAAATTTAGTGACACGTTTTTTGAGAAAATAGTATTATATAATTTAAAATTCTTGGTCGCTACATCCATCGCTGGCAAGGAAATGCTCTCACTTTTAGGCAAGGGACTCGACAAAAATGAATAAAGGCAGAACTACTGGAATGAATCACCTCGAAGAGAACACGACGAGGACAGAAACAGAACAAGGGGTCAGAGGCCCAATAGGGAGCCTCCGGCAAATATTGATAACGCACCCATCAGGGAAATTGACACCATAATTGGTGGTCCACATATAGGAGGAAGTTAAGAAAAGCCCTTAAAAACTACGCAAGGGAAGCAAATGATCCTCCCATAACGCATTACCTAATCAACAACTCTAGTTGAAGTGTTGGAAACATCCCTCCAATCATTTTCTCACCAAAAGATGCTGTGGGAGTTCATTACCCACACCGAGACACATTAGTGGTTCGAGCTGTCGTGGCTAGAAATGGCCTGAAGCGCTTGTTGGTTGACAATGGGAGTTCTGTCAACATCCTCTTTAGAACCACTTTTGGCAAGATGACTACCCTCTGTACGATTTTATTGGGGATAGCATCGTCCCCAGAGGAAGGATCACATTGGCAGTGGAAATGGGAGAGTATCCATTCAGAGCTCAATACTTCATGGAATTCTTGATAGTGGATCACCGATCCACTTACCATGGAGTTCTGGGGCGACCCGCCCTGAAAGAATTGGAGACAGTAACATCTATACATCATATCTGCATAAAGTTTCCTACCAAAGAAGGAATCGCAATAGTACGAGGCGACCAAATGAGTTCAAGGGAATGCTACCTTAGCTCCCTAAGAAAATCTGAGCCCATAAGCGTAAACATGATCCTATTAGATACCAAAATGACTGATGCGCCTGAAGAAGGCTTAACCTCCGAGCAAGGAGGAGACATCAACATGATAGATGCCCATGAAGAAGGGATCATCGATGTGGATTTGGATCCACGGGAAACAGAGTCTAACTCATAAGCAACCCCGGTGGAAGAACTGGAATCTTTCGCCATAATCCTAAGAGACCCCACGAGGTCATTATAGATAGGGAAGGATCTCAAGCCGAAAACGAAAGCTAAGATTAAAAACTTCTTGTTAAACAACTTGGATGTGTTCGCCTGGAAACACGTAGACATGGTGGGGATTGATCCCAAAATCAGTTGCCACCAGCTCAACGTAGACCCTAAACTCAATCCTCACAGGCAAAAGAGAAGGGCCTTAAATCCGAAACGATATGCCGCATTAAAAGAAGAGGTGCGAGGCTCATATCAAACTGGTTCATCAGGGAAGCAACATACCTAAGATGGATATCGAACCCAATGTTGGTGAAAAAGAGTAATGAAAAATGGAGGGTCTGTATAGATTTTTCCAACCTCAACCAAGCATGTCCAAAAGATAGTTTTCCGCTTCCAAGGATTGACCAATTGGTCGACTCCACTGTTGACCACGAACTATTGAGTTTCACGGATGCCTATTTGGGATATAACCAGATCTCCATGCATCCCACCGATGAGGAGCACACCTCTTTTATTACTTATCGAGGATTGTATTGCTACAAGGTCATGTCCTTTGGTTTGAAGAATACCGGTGCAACTTATTAGCGGCTAGTGAACAAAATATTTTCCGACCTGATGGGTAAAACAATGGAGATATACGTTGATGACATGCTAGTGAAAAGCCTCAAGTCAGTTGATCATATTGATCATTTGCAAGCCACCTTTGACATTTTAAGGAAATACCGTATGAAGCTGAACCCCTTGAAGTGAGCTTTTGGCGTCGCCTCTGGAAAGTTCCTAGGTTA